GGTCACCCCCTACGGAGGATCGGCCCACCCCCCGTGCAGGAGCGGGTCACCCCCTACGGAGGATCGGCCCACCCCCCGTGCAGGAACGGGTCACCCCCTGCGGAGGATCGGCCCATCCCCCGTGCAGGAGCCGGTTGCTCAGAGGAAAATTAAAAGCTTTATTATTTATAACGTTAATCATCCAGACAACATGAGGAGAGATTCGCCTGGGACTGGGCCCGCATCCCCTGACGCGTTTTAACCACAAGGCCTACTCTCCATCATGAAGGAGGAGCCCATGTGTGCAGGAGGATGAGGAGCCCATGTGTGCAGGAGGATGAGGAGCCCATGTGTGCAGGAGGATGAGGAGCCCATGTGTGCAGGAGGATGAGGAGCCCATGTGTGCAGGAGGATGAGGAGCCCATGTGTGCAGGAGGATGAGGAGCCCATGTGTGCAGGAGGATGAGGAGCCCATGTGAGCAGGAGGATGAGGAGCCCATGTGTGCAGGAGGATGAGGAGCTCATGTGTGCAGGAGGAGCCGGAGCCCATGTGTGCAGGTGGAGCCCATGTGTGCAGGAGGATGAGGAGCTCATGTGTGCAGGAGGATGAGGAGCCCATGTGTGCAGGTGGAGCCCATGTGTGCAGGAGGAGGTGGAGCCCATGTGTGCAGGTGGAGAAGCGTATGTAATAGACCCCGCCCCTTCCACAATGTATGATTGGTCTCTGAGGCTGCCCATCACATTATTGAGTCATTAGGAAGGTGTGTGAGGAGGCGGGGCATAATATTTGCATATTAGAGCACGCCCCAGGGGAGTCCATGACCTAGAATGGCGCCATGTCGGCCATCTTGCTGCCCTCGGGACTACTTACATCTTCTGGCCGATGGTGGAGTTCTCCTGGAAGAGCAGGTCCACGTCTATGTCAAAGTTACAGGTGGTGATACACCAGGTCATCCCGCCCACCACCTGAAGGCGGAGACAAAGTCACATGATGCCAGCACACTGTGCCACGGGAAAGTGGGAGGGAATGCAGGGGGCGTGGCCCACAACTGCCAATCAGGTTTCATCTTTTATTGTTTAGGACTGATTGGTCACCGCAGGCCACACCTCCACTTCCTGTCCCGTCAGAATCTCACCTTGTCGAAGGGGGACAGCCCCTTAATTCTGGCTCGGAAGTAACCGGCGGCAACCAGCAGCTCCAGAATCTCCACCAGTTTGACGTTCTGCTCCTCATCCTCCCGACTCTCCACCTGAAATCACATGACACAGGCCGTGTGACAAGGCACCGGCGAGCGCTGTACACCCCAAGGAGTATGGAAAGGGGGAGGGACTATGAGTGAATGTGGATGCTGGGTGTGGGAGGGACTATGAGTGAATGTGGATGCTGGGTGTGGGAGGGACCTGGGTGGGGGAGGGACTATGAGTGAATGTGGGAGGGACTATGAGTGAATGTGGATGCTGGGTGTGGGAGGGACCTGGGTGGGGGAGGGACTATGAGTGAATGTTATAGTGGGGTGGTGCTGAAGGGGGAGGAGTGATTGTGGAGGGGGAGGAATTATGGTACAGTGGGAGGGGTGATAGCAGAAGGGGAGGGGTGATGTTAGAGTGGGAGGGGCGAGAGTGGAAGGCGAGGGATTATGGTACTGTGGGAGGGGTGATGGTGGAGGGGGAGGGATTACGGTAAAGGGGTCATGGTGCAGGGGGACGGACTATGATACAGTGGGAGGGGTGATGGCGGAAGGGTCATGGCGCAGGGGGAGGGATGATGGAGGAGGGGTTTTGGTACAGGGGTGATGGCAGTGGGAGGGGTCATGGCGCAGGGGGACAGACTATGGTACAGTGGGAGGGATGATGGTGGAGGGATTATGGTATAGGGGGAGGAGTGATGGTGGAGGGATTATGGTACAGGGGGAGGGATTATGGTATAGGGGGAGGGGTGATGACGGAGGGGTGATCTTTGCTTATATTGTATTAATAGACGCGCACTCCGGAGCCTCCACACGAACTGACGCGTTTTGCAGAACCATCGTCATGTGACCGCCCCATTGTCTGATCTAGGTGTACGGTATTTGGATTTTGGTTGCTCCTCCCTTTGCGGTAGAGGAAGGGGCGGGGCAGAAGACGTTCTATGATGAAGACTCTGCCAGACGCGTCAGCATGGTGTAGACTTGGCGGACATTTTGGTTCTTTGATGAATATAAATATCAGAGGATATGGAGGGACGGCGGCCATTGTGATTGTCTGCGGGCCCCTCCTGTGGTCCTGGGACTGGGTGCCTCGTTGTTTCCTGGTGTTAGTCCCTCCCCTGAGGAAGCCGATGATGGGGGCAATGCAGGACGTCCTCCAATCAGGTGCAGTTTGGAGAACGGTGACTGCCTCATTCCGGTCACATGGTGTGGCTAGTAGGGGTGATGGAGGGGGAGGGGTCTGGTCGGTAAGGGTGATGGAGGGGGAGGGGTCTGGTCGGTAACGGTGATGGAGGGGCCTGGTCGGTAAGGGGGATGGAGGGGGGGGGGGCG